GTACAAAAGCAAGCAACAGGTGTAATCAGGGTATTCCGAATGAGTATATAGCTCTCCTTTATTTTCCCTCACATGCCGTATAAATGTACAAATGCAATCACCACGTGTAATCAGGGTATTCCGAATGAGTAGATGTCCTTTATTTTCCCTCACATGCCATATAGATGTATATACAAAAGCAATCACCATGTGTAAGCAGGGTATTCCAAATGGGTATATGTCCTTTATTTTCCTTCACATGCCGTATAAATGTACAAAAGCAATCACCACGTGTAATCAGGGTATTCCGAATGAGTAGATGTCCTTTATTTTCCCTCACATGCCATATAGATGTATATACAAAAGCAATCACCATGTGTAAGCAGGGTATTCCAAATGGGTATATGTCCTTTATTTTCCTTCACATGCCGTATAAATGAATACTGTGCGTATTTGCAGCAGCTGCCTGAGTCTTATTGGGCCTAACCACCACCAGCAATAACAACCTGCGAGCACTCAAATTAATATCCCTATTACTATTATTATGAAAAGCACTGAAGTGCAAACCCTCGGCGCACTGTGACGCGCGCGCGTAATTAAACGCATGCGCCGTATCACTAATTGATGGGCTGGGTTTAGTTTCAGCTGTTACTCGCGGTCTCTTGCCAGCTCGCGCAGAGTCTGACGCGGGCTAACTACACTACTAGATAGCATGCGAGAGGCGATACATGCCTGCGTTGCATCTTCTAGTGCCTCCGAGGTACGCAGAGCACGCGGATCGATCGTGCCGTAGTATAAAGCCGTTGTGTATTTGCATATTGGCTTTTTCGCGCTCTAGCTTTGCAACGGAGCGTTTTCAGAGAAAACTGTCCGATCGTTCTGACCTTCGTTGCCCGTTAAGCATGTGGTATCGTTTGTGAGACGAACAGACTTTCGAGAGGTGAGATGTAGAGTAACGGACAGACAGACAGACAGACAGACCCAACTACTGTAACCCTCGCTGCGCATGCGCGCCGAGGGTTAATTACACTATGCAACTGATTAACCTTCCTTCTACCATTGTCTAACACATTCTTGATATGCACATCCCATGCACCAGTATTAGTAAAATCAACACCCAAGTATGTGTATTTAGATACTCTAGGCAAAACATACTCCCCCCACTTCCAAGCACCATCCCCTGACTCCCTAGCGAACACCATCACTGCACTCTTACTCACATTAGCCTTTAGCCTCCATTTCCGACAGTAAGCATGCATCACATCTATAAGCGTCCGTATCTGATCCTTAGACTCACTAACACCAACGAAGTCATCTGCAAACAAAAGTCCTCCAAGTCTCCCACCACTACTTAAATCGATCCCAATCTCAGCTTCCTCCACCTCCCTCAACAACCCATTGATAAATACGGAAAACAAAATTGGAGATAAGCTACATCCCTGAGCTACCCCCTGTTCCACATCAAATGCCTCTGACCGTTCCCCATCCAACAATACAGCACTCTTTGAATACTCGTACATCTTCTTTATGACCCTCCACATCTTCCCTCTTACCCCAAATTCCCACAACTTAAACCACAGGCCGTTACGCCACACACTATCGTATGCCTTCTGCACATCTAGCATATGTCTCCTTCCCCTCCTTTAGTCTACCCTGCACGAGTTCATTCAGCGTATAAATATTATCAACACAACCCCTTCCAACCCTAAAACCAGCCTGGCCCTCATGCAATGCTTTGCCCTCGTCCAGATGCTTCACCAACCTATTGTTCAATACCTTACAAATGAAAAGCACTAAAGTGCAAACCCTCGGCGAACTGCGCATGTGCGGTACCACTAATTGATGGGCTGGGTTATTTATGCCTTTATCCCGCTAGTAGCTCGCGGAGAGTCTGGCACGGGCTAGCTACAGTAGTAAATAGCATGCGTGAGTCGACACATACCCTTCGTTGTGACTTGTTGTGCTTCAAGACACACAGAGCGAACGGACGCGGTCGAGGTAAGCCTGTGCTAATTTACATATTGGCTTGTTCACTTGGTTTTCACGCCATAACTTTAAAACACGTAGTCACGCATGCGCCGTACTACTAATTGATGGGCAGGGTTTAGTTTTAGCTGTTACTCGTTGTCTCTTGCCAGCTCGCGCAGAGTCTGACGCGGGCTAACTACATGCGAGAGGCGATACACGCCCTGCGTTGCATCTTCTGGTACCTCCGAAGTACGCAGAGCCCGCGGATCGATCGGACTGTGGTAAGCCATCCCGTCCGTTGCGTATTTGCATATTGGCTTTTTCACGCTCTAGCTTTGCAACGGAGCAGTTTCAGAGAAAACCGTTCGAAATTTCTGACCTTCATTGCCCGTTAAGTTGGTCGTATCCTTTGTGAGACGAACAAACACCCGAGAAGTGAGATTGAGAGTAACAGACAGACAGACAGACAGACACACACACAGACCCAAGTACTGTAACCCTCGCTGCGCTTGCGCGCCGAGGTTAATTCTGTAAACAATGAAAAGCACTAAAGTGCAAACCCTCGGCGAACTGCGCACGCGCGATACTGCTAATTGATGGGCTGGGCTATTAGTTGTATGAGTTTACTCGTGGTCTCCCCCTACTGAGTAGTTCGAGGAGTATCTGACACGGACTGGCTACAGTAGTTGATAGCATGCGGGAGCCGATACATGGCATTCGTTGTGACTTCCTGAGCCCCCAAGGTACACAGAACCAGCGGATCAGGTCGCGGTAGCCAGCAAACAGCGTTGATCGCGACGCATGCGCACCGCTTATTGATGGGATGGGCCACGTACCGCGGTCCGCGACCGTGCCAGTTTGTCGCTCTCGAATGCAGTCGTTTCAGGAAAATCTTTTATTTTTCAGGCTCGAGTAGTTCTGAAGCCGTCGGTATCGTTATGGGCCGCCTCGTAGCCGGTAGTGCAAGAATAAGCGTCGACACACACACACAGACAGACAGAACGACTACAGTAACCCTCGCTGCGCATGCGCACCGAGGGTTAACTAAGTAACTCTACCATCCCTGACCCACGATACTTTAGAAGCTACCACACAAGCCTACCACCACTCTTGTTATTCTTCAACTTTCTAAAATCTCCACCAAATCTATTTCCCTAGCCAATTTTCCACACCATCTGTTGGAAACTCACACACTTTCTTACCCACTTCCTCTTTCCAACTATCATCAAAGGCTGTATCAACACTACAAGTGACCAACTGCTGATAATGCCTCTTTAACACCTCTAACTTGCCCTTTGGAGTTCATCGAAACAGAAATTACAAGTTTGTAAACAACAACAAACAGCCTCAGGCAATAAAACGATGTTTGTGCCTATAACTTGCATATTGTGGGTCCTCTAACAACGAAACTTGGTACACTGATTTCCAACGATGAGAGTTCATCGAAACGTAAATTACAAGATTGTAAACAACAACAAACAGCCTCAGGCAATAAATACTTGTAAATTATGTTTACGTCTGTAACTTGCTTATTGTGGGTCCTCTAACAATGAAACTTGGTATACTGATTTACTATCATAAGAGTTCATTGAAACATGAATTACAAGTTTGTAAACAACAACAAACAGCCTCAGGCAATTAAGTGCTGTTTTTCCTATAACTTTGTACACCCTACCTACTTTGGAAGTGAAATAAAAATGTAGATGACGACTAACAGACCGAAGCAATAAATGCACGTTACTTTTTATATGGACATTATGCCCTAATGCATGTGCATGCCGTAAAAAAAGGAAAGGAGACAAGTAAATAAAAAATTCAGCTAATTAAAAAAGTTTGTAATATAGGGATGCCATAAAAAGCAAGGAGACAAGACAGGGATGACCTGGGCATGTGATGCAGTAGTACAATTGGATGATTGTTACATCTTCAAACTGACATTTCGTGCTCATGTAAATTTTACTCCACACAAGCCTTATATTGTCGCCACTCTTACTCATGACATGAGTTTTGAATAGTGTAGTGTGAAGACTGGCAAACGTATTCTGTAGGGAAAGCAGCATTGTAAAACCGGTTAGTTCAGCGGACATTGAAGTAAACGCAGTCACGATTCAAAACTGAGGACCTGTCAGAGAGGGCATTTGCTACATGCATAGGAAACGAGTCATAGCTGCACATCATACGATAGAGATCACTCGTGCTTTGCGACAATATAGGGCTTGTGTGGAGTAAAATTTACATGAGCAAGAAATGTCAGTTTGAAGATGTAACAATCATCCCATTGTACTACTGCATCACATGCCCAGGTCATCCCTGTCTTGTCTCCTTGCTTTTTATGGCATCCCTAAATTCCACACTTTTTTTATTAGCTGAATTTTTTATTTACTTGTTAACCTTCGGCTCGCATGCATACAGTACTTGGTCTGTCTGTCTGTTTGTATTTGTCAACGCTCATTCAGGCACCACAGGCTATGAGGCGGCATATGACAGCTTCAGAACTACGTACGCCAACCTGAAAAATAAAATTCCTGAAACGACTGTGTTCGAGATGAAAACAAGCGAAAAGGCCAATATGCATAATCGCACTGGCTTACCTGATCTGCTCGCTCAGTGCACAAGAAGTCACGACGAAGGTTTATCGACTCTCGCATGTTATTTATTAGTGTAGTTAGCCCGTGTCAGACTCTCCGCGAGCTACTAGCGTGGAAACCACAAGTATTACCTAACCCATAGCCCAGCAAGCAAGACCTGTGTGCTTTAAACACGTGCATGCAAAAGAAAGTTTAAAATGGCAATCAATATAATCTGGGAACTTAACTGGGGAACGGTCAGAGGCATTGGAAAAACCATTTCGCAAGATTATACACAAACTATATGTTATAGGTGAAAAGCTCAAATATGCAAGTTTCAGCCCTCAACTGAAGGTTTTGTGCAACTAGCCGACTTTCCTTTACTTAATGGTCGCATAACAGTCACATGACTTGATACAATATTTTCAACATGGTGACATATTCTTGTGCACGACATACAGCTGGGGTGGGTAATGGTAAAAGGTTTCAGTGTCTTTGCACAAAGCACTGTATATACAATGAAACCAACAACAGTTTCGATATCTTATACGTATAATACCTTTATGGCTTTCGTAGCTTCCAAAAAGGATATACCATACTTGTTATGCTCTTCAATCCCAGTGCCAATTGTCAATATGTTTGGATCAAATATGATGTCTTCTGGATTGAATCCTGCCTTGTTGATTAGTAAATCATATGAACGAGAGCATATGGAGACTTTCTGTTCCGCGGTAGTAGCCTACAAGAACATAAAAAACACATACGTACTAACCACAACACCACAAAGACTCTTTGCCATGTGACTATAACGCTATAGTATGTTTACAGCAGTCAGCAGTAAGGATGGACTTGGAAAAACAACAGAAAAAAACTCAGTAATAGGTTATCATAAAAAAGGGGAACAAGAAGATACTTTCATAACTCCACCATTAGTGTGTCACAAAATACGAAATTTAAGTGTAGGGGTGTGGTTATGAACAGCTTGTTGTCATGGTGAAGGGGTATGTTCCTCAGCCATGGCATCATCCCTCGTTTTTTCCTCTTTTTTCAGTTGTTTCTCTCATTAACCCTCGGCGTGCATGTGGTACTTGGGTCTGTGTGTCTGTGTGTCTGTTACTCTCAATCTCACTTCTCGGGTGTTTGTTTGTCTCACAAAGGATACCACCTACTGAACGGGCAATGAAGGTCAGAACTTTCGAACGGTTTTCTCTGAAAACGCTCCGTTGCAAAGCTAGAGAGCGAAAAAGCCAATATGCAACGGCATGATCGACCCGCGTGCTCTGCGTACCTCGGAGGCACCAGAAGATGCAACGCAGGGCGTGTATCGCCTCTCGCATGCTATCTAGTAGTGTAGTTAGCCCGCGTCAGACTCTGCGCGAGCTGGCAAGAGACCACGAGTAACAGCTAAAGCTAAACCCAGCCCATCAATTAGTGGTACGGCGCATGCGTTTACTTACACGTGCGCGTCACAGTTCGCCGAGGGTTTGCACTGTTGAATATGCACTTGCACAGACTTGTTGCTTTGTCATTGACAAGTTATCTAGTTAACGCTTATAGTTATTGTAAACAAAACTTCTCTGTGGTCTTCTAGACCACGGACCTGCACACTTCTTCTGGACTATTCTATGCACGTGGTGACTTCTAGAACATTCTTAGATAGGTATAAAAGGCTTGAGTTTTTGTACCGTAGTTCAGTTCTGATGTTTCGAATAATATTATTCTGAGGAAGTATAATCTGCGCAAGCGCCCCAGCCAGTTTCAACAGGTTATGGGCCCAGAACTCGCAAGTCTGAACTCAAAGTAAAACCTCGAAAGCAGTCCGTTGGCCACATAGCTCAAGCGAGCAATGGCATCTGAATCCAAGACCGTCAGTGTTGTTCCGTTAAATGGATCTAATTATCCAACATGGAAAGTCCAATGCAGGATGGCGTTGATGAAGGATGGTCTTTGGAGCATTGTAAACGGCACTGAGGTTGTACCGGCTGGAGAGGGTGAAAGACGGGCTAAGTTCCTTGCCCGTAGGGATCGTGCCTTAGCTACCATTGTTCTTTCTGTTGACCCGTCATTACTGTATCTTATCGGAGACCCGGAGGATCCCATCGTAGTCTGGAAAAAACTTGCCGACCAATTCCAGAAAAAGACCTGGGTGAACAAGTTGCAGCTACGACGAAAACTGCATTCGCTGAGACTAAAAGAGGGCGATTGTGTTCAAGAACACGTAAAGGCCATGACGGAAGTGTTTGATGCTCTCTCGGTTGTCGGTGATCCAATAAAAGAGGAAGACAGAGTGGTTTTTCTGCTAGCGAGCCTGCCGGAGTCGTACGATATGCTGGTGACGGCGCTAGAGGCAAACGCTGAGGTACCTCAAATGGAAGTTGTCACTGAGCGACTACTACATGAAGAAAGGAAGTTGAAAGATCGCAGCACGGCCGATGATACAAGTGGAAGCGGTGAGAAAGGAATGCTGGGCAAGCATAGAACCCAAAAACGAAAAGGACCAAAATGTTATCACTGTGGTAAAATTGGGCATATTCAACGAAACTGCAGTGAGCTACATTCGTCAGAAAGGAAAAGCCACAAGTCGACAAAGGCAAATCATTCAGAAGTGAGGCACAGAGATGCAAGCAGCTCTGACTCTGAGGATACTGGGTTAATGGCATCTCATGCATTGTCTGTGAGTCAGAAGGAGGGATGGATTGTAGACTCAGGAGCCACCAGTCACATGTGCAAAGATCGCAGCTCATTTACTGAGTTACATACCCTGGAAGAGCCACTTGACGTCAAGTTAGGAGATGGCCATTCCCTGAAAGCAACTGACAAGGGAACCGTGATACTGAACATGAGGCTGCCAAACGGAAAAACACGTAAATGCAAACTCAACAATGTGCTGTATGTTCCCTCTCTTTCGTGCAATCTATTGAGTGTGTCAAAGGCCACACAATATTCAAAGGTGACAAAGTTTGGCAAAGTTGCCTGTCATATACTTGATTCGAATCGCAAGCTGATTGCTCGAGCCACAAAGATAGGTAGCCTCTACCACCTTGATGTTGAAACCACTCCTGAAATGGCCAGTGTAGCTGACAAACAAGAGAAAGAGGCTATTTGGCATCGTCGGTTTGGACATCTAGGCACTAACAGTTTGCAGAAGCTTGCCAGAGAACAGTTGGTAAATAGCTTCGACTATAGTGCTGAAAAGAAAGTCAGTTTTTGTGAGTCTTGCGTGCAGGGCAAGCACCATAAAAGCACATTTCCGACCAATAAAACAAAGAGAGCTCGGGAGCCTCTTGACCTCGTTCACAGCGATGTGTGTGGAAAACTGAACGGAAAATCGCTGAGTGGAGCCGAGTATTTTTTGACATTCATTGATGACAAGACAAGATATGTCTGGGTCTATATTCTCAAGAGGAAAGCAGAAGTATTCACACGATTCTTGGAGTGGAAATCAATGGTGGAAAGACAGACAGGGCGCAAACTGAAAACCTTGCGCTCGGACAACGGAGGAGAATACACGTCTAGAGAATTTGAATCTTACCTGAAAACGGAAGGAATACGCCATGAGCTCACTGTGCCAAAAAATCCTCAGCAAAATGGTGTGGCAGAACGCATGAATAGGACGTTGATGGAATCTGTGCGTTCAATGTTAGCTGATGCCAAATTGCCTCACAAATTCTGGGCAGAGGCACTATCTACTGCTGCTTATCTGCGGAATCGAAGCCCAACCATAGCTGTGGAGGACATGACCCCTTTTGAAGCATGGACCGGAGTCAAGCCAGATGTCAAACACTTTAGAGTGTTCGGTTGCACAGCATATGCTCATATTCCAAAGGACGAGCGACAAAAGCTAGACACAAAAGCAAAGAAAAGTATCCTCATGGGATATGGTACAGAGACAAAAGGATATCGCTTATATGACTCTAAGCGTGGAAAGATATTTTACAGTCGAGATGTATGGTTTAATGAATTGGAGTGTGGTGTTGAGAAGGAGTCAAGTGAGCCAGACAAGAGAAGATACGTTGAACTTGAACTTGAACTTCCAAGTGACGATGAAACAATATCAGACACACCAGTGCAACCAGCACCACGCAGATCTGAGCGAGAAAGAAGGCCACCCGTGTACTATGGAGAGTGGGCTAATGTCTCAGACTACCAAGAACCACAGACCTTTCGTCAAGCTCTGGAGAGTCCAGACAAACTACACTGGATGGATGCAATGAAAAATGAAATAGAGTCTATCCATGATAATGATGTCTGGGATCTGGTAGAGCTACCAAAGGACAGAAAGGCAGTCGGGAGTAAATGGGTGTTTAAAGTAAAGACTACAGCAGATGGATCCATTGAAAGGTATAAAGCACGCCTGGTGGCACAAGGATGTTCGCAAAAATATGGTGTAGACTATGATGAGACCTTCAGCCCAGTGGTCAGACCTGAATCCATCAGAACGCTGATAGCACTGAGTGTACAGGATGGACTAAAGCTTCACCAAATGGATGTCGCTACTGCATTTCTGAATGGTGATTTAGACGGAGAAATCTACATGAAACAACCAGAAGGCTTTGCATCAGAAGGTCAGGCGCATCTTGTGTGCAAACTGAAGAAGAGCATCTATGGATTAAAGCAAGCACCAAGATGCTGGAACACAGTTCTGGATGTACAACTCAAGAAAATGGGCTTTAGTCAAAGCACCAGTGATCCTTGTATATACAAATCCCCAAAGGAAGAACCATTTTTGATTGCTGTGTACGTCGATGACATTATCTTAGCCGGAAGAACAGACAAAAGAATAGGAGAAGTGAAAGAAGCACTAAAAGAGGCTTTCAAAGTCAAAGATATGGGGGTTCTTCACTACTTCTTGGGTGTTGCAATAAAACAAGATCATGAGGGGGGCAAAATCTGGATTGGACAGAGCAACTATTCAACCAATGTACTTGAAAAATATGGAATGGAAGATGCCAAGCCAGTTAACACTCCAGTTGATGTTAACAACAAACTACTGGCAGCCTCCGAAGAGAGTGAGTTGGTCGATCAGAGACTTTATCAATCTGCAGTTGGAAGTCTCCTTTATTTGTCATGCTGGACGAGACCGGATGTAACGTTTGCTGTCAGCAATGTAGCTCGATTTTGCTCAAAGCCTACAAAACACCATTGGACAGCAGTAAAGCGCATAATGAGATATCTAAAGGGAACTCAAAATCACGGTCTACTATATCACAGAGATGGTGAGAAAACCATTGAATGCTACTCCGATGCTGATTGGGCTGGCGACTTGAACGACCGAAGGTCGACATCTGGATATGTCTTCATACTGAGTGGAGGAGCTGTAAGCTGGCGCAGCAAAAAGCAAACCAATGTGGCCCTATCCACAGCCGAGGCGGAATACGTGGCACTTGCCAGTGCTGCACAAGAGGCGATCTGGTTAAGACAACTTAACTCCGAGCTCAACCATCCACCATCAAATCCCACAGTTGTCTATGAAGATAACCAGTCAGCAATTGCAATGACCAAAAATCCAAAATTTCATGGAAGAGCCAAACACATTGATATCAAATATCATTTTATTCGCGAGCAGGTTCAGAATGGAAGAGTAGAACTCGAGTACTGCCCAACTGAGAAAATGATTGCGGATATACTGACAAAAGGACTACCTCAAGATCAGTTTAAACGATTTCGCAACATGATGGGGGTACAAGAGCTACAGTCTGAGAAGTGAGAAGGAGTGTTGAAAATGCACTTGCACAGACT